GGGGAGGGAACCTGGACCTTTGACGTGGAACATCACATGATTGTAAAACGTGGGCTGACGGCTTGGGAACTGGCTGGCACTGGCTGTCAGTTTCCAAAAGGGCAGTGGTGATGGTGAATCGGGCGGATCTTCTGAATCCTAGTTCCCCGAACCACTCACCCGGGGATCCGCGATGAAGGATCAAGTGTGGCGTTTTAGTCTATTATTGATATTGTTATTATCCGCAACGGGGCGTTTGGGAAGTTTTTGCAAGGCCCCGTGACAGGAAAAAAAAAAGGGGGGGGTGGTGGTAGGGTGGGAAGGAAAGGGCTAAACCGAACAGGCGGGTAATCAATCCAGGTATCTATGTACTACTCCTTGTGAACGATTGTATCATACGTGCTGTATGTAGTATTTTCCCCCATTATTTTTTTATTTACATTTTGTTGTTTGGGGATATACTACTATCTACCTACCGTTTCCCGCAAAGATAGCATCACAAGTACTTTAGTGACAGCTGGCAGGATTTTCGCCTTGTGACTGTGGACGGGGTGAGGAATGAGCGAACGCTTATACTCTGTTGTTGGGTCACTCAGATTAGGTATACCAGTCTCCTGAGACCGGTATTCGGAAGGGATACATAGTCATTGGACATGTGTACTTTAAATCTCAAATCAAAAGTGCTTTGGGGTATCGTGGCTTGGAGGGTAAAAGGGCATTGGAGACTTGCAATTCACGGTACATACATACATAACTGCAGCAGACTTCAAAGGGAGCAATGAACTGATAAGAGGAAGGAGAACTATGTAGGTGTGAGATGATCATCCAGATCGGAAACGCTGCGCTCTTTCCCCGGTATGCGACTCCGCCTGGGGCATTTTGCGAAGGTACATACCATCACCGGCTAATAAGAACAAACAGTAAGGAAGATCAGTGCTCAGGCCATTTCAGCCGGGATGATTGAACCATCCACGTCGACATATCATATGGATGTAGAAAGTCAGAGTTCGATCAGACACGCTTGAGCCTAAAAGGGGATCAGGATCGATAAATTGGGGATGAGGTCAAGTGCCGGAATGCCCGGTTTCAGAACTAAGTCGGGTAGTCTGTGTGTAAGATGTTGATGTCCAAGAGACCGGGTAACAGGAACGTGGCTTGGGGAGGTGCCCAGAATGTAGACCGTAAAACCCATGGTTTCCTTAGTCACATTTGGATATCAAGAATCTGCCCGAAACTAAGCATGTCCGTGACGAAAGCAGTTGAACTGAATCGAGCAATAAGTCACTAGTCAGCAGGACACAACAATAATAGCCCAGCGGTGGGTGGTTGGTGAATTGTCAAATGCCCCTGACGAGGCGAGGGATTAGGCACAGTGCCTAGATTGACAGTGATGATGGAAATGGATCTGGATGCTGGGTACAATGATGGAAGTGGCTATCATCGTTAGGTCTTCAATAGTAATGATCATTAACCCGATTCCTACAGTATGCCAGCCCTGGCGAGTTGAGAAGTGCGGAGTGATATCAGCAGCACTTCGCCTCGGCCAATCGTTCGGGACCCATTTTTGAGAAGTCAAGTGACCCGATCGATTGACTGGTGAACTGTTAAAGATGCCTTGTCCTTAGTCAGCCGAGGCGATGGTCACAGGACGGGTTGATCTTTGTTTGAATGTTTGTCTAGAACGATCCCCTGTGGCCTTTTTTCTCCCTCCCCCTGTTGTTGTTATTGCTATCTCTCCAGGGGTTTTGCTTTGTCGGTGATGCATACATAGTGCTGCCGGTCCGAGATGAAGCGAGAACCAGGGTGAATCAAGGCATCAGGTCACAAAAACTTTGAGGCTTTTTTGAAGGTGATCCATTTGGGGGGCTGTTGTCCATACCTGAACGGTATTAGTATGTATCTATCCAGATCCAGGGTCAAGCTTCATCTGGTTGCAAGTGTTGGGGGGTGGGTGTAGACGCATTCACCGATGTATAGCTGGCCCTACTGGGTTTAGTGAAGTACCTGCCTTCCTACTTGACTAGTAGTATTGTTCTTCAATACCAGTTTCGTACTTTGTTCCAAAGTGGGACTCCGGAAACAGACCGATGGTAATATTACCGGTGTTATAACGACGTATGAAATACCAGTAGACCCACGGGGGTACTCCGGATGTACCATTGCGAAAGGGGAAATTTGAATTTCAGAAAAATCGGAAAATCGGAAAATGGAAAAATAAAAAAATAAAAAAAAAAGAACGCAAATAATCCCAAGATTAATCACACATCCGGGACCACGGATGGGGAGGAGGCGCGGCTAGGAGCCCATCCTTGTACTTACCGCCATCCCCCCATCGCTGGTCAACCACAGTACCTCTCCCTCGGTACGTACCCCCATCGGACTTTTCTCTTGTGGCCACCGTCAAATTCCCATTTTCTGCCATTTTCTGCCTCTTTTTCCCTTTTTTTCCCCTTGTACTGAACCCGTTACCAGTTCATACCGGACACTCACTCATCCACCCTCCCTCCCTCTTCCCCCCAATTCTCCACCGACCCGTCCGTTAACTATCTTGCCTTTTCCTCTTTTCTTCGTCCGCTCCACCAGCCAGACTAAGGTTCTCCTCCCCCATATTCCCCTTCGATTTTTTCCCTTCCTTCTTTCCTCCTTCACTCATTCCTCTCGCCCATCACCCTCAATCCTCATCCCCACGTCCATCCCCGACCTCCCTGAACCGGCCATATCTACATACTTCGCGCCAGTACGCCTGAACCTTCGTTCAATCTTCACCCACCCGGACCGTTTTTCGTTTTCGGTCGTTTCTCTCTTGGATAGGTAGTACTGGAAAGTGTGAAGGATCCGCTTACGGAACCGGCTTCGATCAATCGACCTACCCCGGATCGATCTCTCTTGCGCCATACCACCCTCCATCTCGCACAGCAATTGTTGAACTCGACACCTGCTGCACTTGACAGGCAGCTTGGGCGCCACTTTCAATCTCAATCGACTTTCTGCAGCACGCTGCAGAACTCAAACTTGGAGGCGTTACTCTCAGTAACCTTGGAGGATCGAAGAGGTCTATTTCGCAACTTCTCGCGCCGAACGACCACGCTTGGGGGAGACGGCGACCCCGAAACTACACTCCTAAGGGGAAGAAAAGAATCGTTTGAGGAACTTCAACATATTCGAAATTGTGGCGTCGTTAGAATGGCTTCGCGTTTTTCAACCCCCGTTCTGACGGTGGATACGGCCAAGATCCATAAGGTCGACACAGCCAATGCGCAAAGTCTTCATGGCATGTGGATGGGTAAGTGCATCTTGTACCGTTGCGTGTATCAGTCGCGTCTGGTGGCTGACAATTGACCTCCGAATTTAGTCTTTTCGAAATGTGCCGACTATATGGAGGAAGGCCGACGTCTGGAAAATCTGAGCTGGCGACTCTGGACACGTGAGACCTTCTGTGTGGAGCCGGAGACCTCCAGCACTACCTCAGTTTTGCCACTCCTTCGTTCCGAAGCTGGGGATTTGCCAGAACTTTCCGCGAGTGTCGAATCGGCGGCGTCGGAGCAAGCTGAGCGGATAGAGCATCACATTAAACGCCCGAAGTGCTTGGACTATAAGCCGGCGGTGGTGCGTGAGGATTCTATGGCCAGCCTCGCTCGCGGAAAGGAAAAGCATATCACATCTTTAGGTTTGGAACGGATGGTGCTGAACATTAAGGAGAAGAAACACCTTGAACCCATTTCCACCGTCATGTCGACAGTCGAGCCCCCTGTTGTCGATATCACACCACGTCCTTCGACCCCTACTCCCGCCACCCCTCCTTCTGTCTCTACTGCGAGGCGGACGCCAACCCCGCCCCCGTACCCTCTCAGCCAACAACCGAACCAGTCCACTGAGTCTTGCTCGACTACTGCGCCCGAATGCAATGATAGCGATAACAATGGCAATACCGCCGGGTCTGATACTAGCGTTTCTTCGTCCGGCATTCTTACCCGATCCGAATTGATCAAGTCGCCAAGCATCGTCCGCGGATTCTCTCCCTCTGTCATCTCTTCGTCATACCGGTCGCAACCTAGATTGGCTGCCGAACCTGGCCCGGCCAAACCTCCAGCACAGCTCAAGCCCACTCCCTTCAAGAAGAAGGGCGGCATGTTCACTCTCGGAGGCTCGTCGGGTGACGACGATGAAAGCTCTTTCGAGGATCGCATGGCAATGCAAGGGCCCCATCGCAGTTCTCTTTCTGATGAATTGAGTAAGCCTTCGGCTAGTGGCCAGGATCTCAGGAAAAAGGTGGCTTCCTTCAGGGACCAGAATGAAATCATCAAGCCCATCCGTGAACGTGCTATGGATAACGAAGATGCCGTCGAGACGGACGATGAGGTTTCTGAGAGTGCTATCGAGGACTCGGACTCGGACTGGGAAGATTCGATCACGGAAAGCGGCCGATCCAGTGTTGAGGAGAAGGAACTCTTCCAGCGTGTGGATTCCCGGCCCAACCTTGTTTCGCGTCGCTCCCTTCTCACCATGATGATGCATCAGCCTACTAAGATGGGAGCTCCGACCCGGTCTAGTCCAGCCCTCCAACGCTCGCGTCTCACTTCCCCCAACGGTCCCTCGATCCCTGCATCGCCGCCTGAGGACGATGATGAGAACCTGACGATGCGTGGTCCCGACGTACCTCGCTCGAAGCCCATCATCATGAAGCCCGCCCCGCAGTCTGTTGCCCACTCCCCACGGACAACTCGTCGCAACATGCTCGCTACCGAATTGACCGAGTCTCTCCGCCGACACTTGTTGTGGGAACGTCAACAGAAGAGTGCGACTGCCAACGCGTTTTTGAAGCGCAGACATACGGCGCATGACATGGCCAATCTACAAGAATACCCTGGACCGAAGGGATCTAAGGGACAGGCAGCCGGCCAGGCCGGTGGTCCTGCAACCAAGGCTACCAGTCAGGGTAAGGACAAAACCGGATCCTTTACTCATTACACCGACTTTGGACCTTGGGAATATCATGTGAAGGGGTGGTGAAACCCTTGACTGATGGTTCGACTTACGTCTTCGCCTTCATTATCTGTGTCAAAGCATGTCCTTTCTTCTGGATCGGTAATGTTTGTTGACTATGATACCCGATACTCGAACGGCTACTCCTTGTTTCTCGTTTCTTTTCTTTTCCAAAACATGTAAAGACCGCCGACTGATTATCATCCTTGTGACACGTACCATCACGACTGCATTGCATATTGGCGCACCTAGGGATCATACGGCTGTTATATCCGACCTAATGCGTTTCGGGTCATTGTTTTGCTTTTTTTCCCCTTTTTTTCCCTTTTCCTTTCATCTTACCCCATCTTTCAACATTGCATTGTGAGGCTGTCTGCTGTCATTATATATGGGCCATGGGAGGGACAAACGCCTTTTATTACATCCTTAATTTCGCTTGTACAGATGAAATTTCCTCTTTGGCGATGCATGGTCGGATACGGTCTTCATTGTCTTGTTTTCTTTTTCTTTTTTTCACTTCTTCTTATGGGTGGACATACTGAAAAGAAAAGAGGGTTTTATTGTTTTTCTCTAAATATGGATGTGATCGGGCCAGGGAGTGAGACAGCCTGCGTTTGATTATTTTGAAGCGGCAGAAAAACATTGCAAACATGCATCTTGGGAACAGCCAGTTTAGCTCTTCTTGATACCAGATACCACTACTTGTTGCTTGACTTGAAACCCGGACCATACCATTCCAGGGTCTTTTTTTTCACATTTTCCGCCGCCTAACTTTTGCGCACGTTATCACCGATGTATGCTACAGTGAGATTGCTATTTGTTGTTTTTCCACCCCCAACCCAAACCAAAAGAAATCTAGCGAAATAGAAAATCCACTTTGGATATGATATGAGATACAACATTCCTTGATTTAGCTGAACAGTAAAGTAAAAAAGTAATGAGGAAACCTAAATAGAGAAGATAGCGAAAGTGGTGTGTGTGGTGACGCGACTCTGCACCGAAGCCATCCATCCATCCATCCAAACCATGGTGTGGTGGTCTCCGGCGGGCCTGGGCTACGGCGCACTGACACGTAGCATGGGCAGAAAATAATCACAATAAAATAATAATAGCACATAATAATAATAATAAAAAATAAATAAAAATTGAATAGGAGGGTAGGGAAGAGTACTTAGTAAGTAGGTAGATGAGGGGAACTCCTCCCCAACCCTCGAACCACCAGTCGTACCTGGTCAGAGATCTAGAATCTCGCGCACTGATCCCTTTCCCTTCCCTTCCCTACCCTACCCTACATTTCACATGCGCCCGATATTAAGATCCCCCCATGAGGAAACGGGACGGGAATAGGATAGTGACAAAGAAAAAGTAAGAACTCAAAAAGAAAATATAAATGGAAATGAGAGGGAGGCGAAAAACGAGCTGGAAATAGAAGCTTGAAGCTTGAGGCTATGTATGTTTGTATGTATGTATGGTTTGTAAAACCATCTACGCAATATTAAACTACGAAGTTGAGTTTTCTCAACGATGATAAGAAGAAGCATGATGGAAGGTAGTTAAGGTAAGGAAGGCAAAAAAGAGACATCTCGGGGTTCCCGTTCCCCCCTCCCCCACCTCAGTCCTTGTCATACCCCAACCACCACCACCAACAACAATAACAATCTATGACAGATTGCTGCTGCGCCCTTGGAGGAACAAGGGGGTGTGGAGAGGTGTCGGGGGGGAAAGGTATGACGGGGACCAAAAAAGCCTGAAAAGCCGACTGAACCGGGATCGGATGGGGATTATTACTCCAGGGTCACATCAGGTTCACATCATGGTCTGAACCCATCATAGTATAGTTGCTGGATAGATAACATCATCATCTAAACTAGTTCGATTCACCGAACTACTACGATTAGTTGGTGGTGGTGCTGGGTCCACGAGATCTTAGTATAGTTCTATTTAGCTTTTCTTCGATGGAATAAGGATGGATACATGCAGATCAGGGAGAAAAAAAAAAGTGTGTGAGTGAAAGAGAGTGTTTGCGCGCATGTGTTCATAAAGTATATCGGGGTCGACTAGATCAAGAAAACCCGGTCGGGAATTTGCGTCACTTGTTGGATGGAAGCTGTTCGATTGAGTTAGACGTGCGGTTTTTGTCGGAACTTTGTCATGTCTTGGAAGGTTAACTTTGTTTTTCTAAATCTGTTTATTTTGTTCTGTCCATGTGCTTTTTGGTTTATGGGTTAAGCATATTAGTCCGAGGTATTAGTTGATGGAGTACTTTGATGGATGATGAGTTGGTGAAAGATATTGTTTGTCAGGTATTAAGATTAACTTCAACTGGATGAGGTGCAGCAGCAGCTCGTAATCAGCCCCTGTTAGAGTTGGAAAACGGTCGCAAGCATTCTTCTACCTGTCTGTTCTAGACTCTCTCTCTCTCTCTCTCCCGTGAAGACTCGAGCTCAACAACTGCCGTATGCGAATGAAACTGCCGTGGAGGCTATTGCGCAGTGCCGTTGGAAATAAGCAGGTCATCTGCGTAAGCCTTGCAGATTTACTGGGCGAGAAGAAGTCAAATTCTATCTATAGTAGGATCTCGTATCTGTCTACTTCTGTCTACATTCATTGATACAATGCCATATCGTAGAGCTGCGATTTGTGTAACGGTATGCAACCGGAATAGCGGACTAATTCCCAGTATAAAGTTCGGTATAAGTTGCATTGGCCCTGGTCTCGTGCGCACTGACATCTTCATTGCTTCAACCACAATGACGTAACGCGGGTACTCCCAGGAAAACCGGAGTTGAAGTAGTATGGAGTGGACTCTTCTTACTAATGAATTAACTACTCCGTAGATTGTTGCATTCAACAGAATCCCTCGGACCGCTGTAATCCGTTCATGTGTGTCGAACAGGTCGCATTCCTTAGCTGAGACTAACTAGGTGTCATCAAATTAGCTAGGTAACTAGTAACCACCGCAGTAGACACCAGAATAACAACACGCACAAATGGTAACCAACCGAATTTCACGCGCAAAAAAGCAAACATAAGCACAATCCCGAAAAAGGGTCGGATCGGATCCATTGGAAGGAAGAAAAGCATACTTGTGTACTCTGTAAGGAAAGTAAGAAGAGAAATTACATTATTTTTCCCTTTTCCCTCCTGATTTTCCTCTTAATTCTCCACAATATCTCCCTGAATCTCCCGATCACCTGAACCAATGATGACTCGAGTTCCCTGCAAACCTGCAAACTCTGACGTCCGAGTCTGCCCGAAAACGTGGAGCAAAAGCCAGCCCGTGGTTCTCTCAAACACCCAGACCACGGCGGTGGATTCAACCCCGACCACCAGTGCAAAGCGGCTGAGGGGGAACTTGGCCCAAAAGAGTTTACTGCCCCTGCAGAAAGTCGGGGTGGACGCCGCGCGAGTGGTTTTTTGTCAGCTGAGAGGGGGTGGTACCTCTCCACTCTTTCCCTTGTGTCAATTCCCAGGATTACCTTGTTGCTAAGTAGTTTAGTTTTTCAAATTGCGGGTCTTTCTCTCTTGTGGAGCGAAATTTGAGATCGGGCAGCCAAGTGATTCGTTCCCCCCCGAACAAAGTAGCCTTCACCGGTACTGTGAGTGCTGTTATACAGTGACACTGTATCTGAGTGACAGATGCTGTACTCGGGCTGATTCGGGATAGTTGTAAGTTATTCTATCCTTCCTTACTAATTCTCACCTTCAGCCTCCCTCATTCATATCGATCGCTATACGGACTATCCATCCATCAATAATCTTGATTTCTTCACGCTCGTTTCAATGCCTTGATGGCTACTGGAAGTGGAGCAGTAACACCTACTACATACATCACCTTGAATCAATCAACCCTCGACACCCTGCTTACTAAACTAATTTTCTCTCCATCATTTCCTACCTTGTAGAGAGATACACACACACACACACACACACACACCCACCGAGGCCCTGAAATAATAATACGTACCATGAATAATAACAACCAATAACCAACGGTGCCCGACCGAGCCAACTGAACAACCAACCAACGAGCGAGCCAAACCAGCAACCGGCTACCACCCGGCCCGACTCCCCAATGCAGCTCGGCATGCCGAAACTTCCTTGTTCCTTCCTTTCCCATCCACATCCATGCATACATACACAATGGGGTATATTCGGAACAATACCAGACAAAAACTTAACTAACTTAAGACACCGAATATCTTGATTATATCATTTGCTCTTCTATTTCTCCGAGAACATTCTGAACTCTAATTTCCCGCACACTATTTTTTTATTTTTTGCCTTCTTCGCTCGCTCACCGTTTTTCACACGGCCCCATTATATGTACGTGTTCACTTTTTTGACCGCATATAACATATGCACACTAATTATGTGGGTGGGTGAGTGGGTGAATCTAGACTTGGCTATTCTTGTTGTAAGCTGATTGTCTAGACTCGGAGGACTTAGTTAACTTGTTATCTTGTTTTCTGTCTTCTTTTCTTGCTACTTGCTATTTGATAGTTTAGTTAGTTACATTGTAGTATTATGCCTCGGCACGTGGCGGAGCGGAAAGGTAGGTTATTTGTTTCAGCCTAACTATTATTCTTTTTCAGTTAGTTTCCTTTTCTCAGTATAGTATGTATGACGACGGTCGTTGAGGCTGACCGGGGCGCGCGCATGGATCATTGATCGGGGAAATGCCGAGCTAGGTACGTATTTATTTTGCTTGGTTGTTTGTTTGTTTGTCACTCTGCTGTTAAGTAAGTTACCGCACTGGTCTGCTCCGTTGACCGGTCGGTCGGGGGAGGGCCCCCGCTTACTCTTGGCGGGTCACATGATATCAGATTAATGAACTTATAGATCTATACAACTTACAACAAATGTTAACCAGCGTAGCAAAAAGAAACGAAAAACAACAGATAAAACAAAGGGCCATACCTACCCATATTAATTACCACCATAATAACAAGTCCTAAGAAGATCCCCCGGCTGATCAAACCTCTCCCAAAGCACCCTCTCCGCCTCTAATTCATCATCATACCTCCTCATCACCTTCTTCAACCCACCATACCAATCCGGAACATCATAAAGCGTATAAAACGCCTTCGTATACTCCCAATACTCCGGAAACCACCCAGAAAACTGCCAATCAACGATCCCAGCAACCTTCCCATCACGAACAATGATATTCCTCTTCGCGATATCCGCATGTGTGAAACACGTCCGATAGTATGATCCGGATCGTTCATGACACTTCGTGACAGCTTCGCCATATACCTTCGTAGTATCTTCTATCGGGATCGTTCCGCGCAGAAACTCATGAAATTCGTTAATGGTTTTGAACGGCCCAAAGGGCCAGCTTCCCACTCGGATGTCATAACATTTTCCTCGTTCTGCGGAAGCTACAAGACCTTCCTGGGGTGGTGTGAGTTGTCGGAGTTGATCGATGTAGCTAGCAATTTCTTGGATCACTGCTTGTTTGTTTGTAGATGTGAAGTTGGGTTTGCGCCATATTTCTTGGAGATTATCGCCTTTGATGTAGTCCATTTCGATGTAGACGCGTCCCTCGCTGGCTGGGTATGTGCGATGGACTTTGGGGACGGGGATGGTGGTGTGTTGCGCGACGTATCGCAGGCCTTCTAGTTCGGCGGGGAAACATGGTCCTTTGATGAGTCGCGTGTCGCTCACTCTTACTACGCTGGGTGAGAAGGTGCCGTAGCGCTTTTTGCCGAGCCATAGTCGACTTCGAAGATAGAGTGTTACTATTGACTCGTGTATTGGCATAGTTGGAGGTATGATCTGAAAGCCTGAAGTCAGGCAAAGCCGACTATGACTGGGTTGATCTGCTGATCATTCAAAAGCTTGGTGCTACCATACTGAGGGCCATGACATCTTTGGCTAGATACTTGGGTTCATCAGAGAGGCGTTGTAAATGCATATGAATATGCTTCACGATCGCTTCTGATCACGTGTACAGTATACTTCGGCTGCATTATTGGCAGCGATGACCAGCCACTCTGAGGTTACTTGGTGGGTAGGTCCAGGTCAAAGCGTGGATGGGTACGTAACAGCACGAGTGTTCATAACTTGAATGTGATTTGTATCAATTGTGGATCAAGTCTGTCTTCTGGTTGTCTTACAAAGAAAAGACTTGTGTAAAGCGAACTAAGTCACTAGCGGAAGGATTATGTAGAGTAATACATTCATTCTTACGGCCCAGACAACCGGCTGGCCCCCTTCAGACATCCCGAGATCCTGATTCGACTACCCAGAATCTCAAACCACCGCTAGTATCAGCCACCTACCAGCTGTTTTCAGAGGCGAAAAAGTGCCATCGGGAGGCGAAAATCAATCACATGCCATGTGTGAGTGTTTGGCGCTAACCACGTTTACGGTCGCAAGGCAACCGATGATGCCGATTTTGGTGTGGTGCGCCTTCGAGAAGTCTTCTAGAAGAGGTTTGAGGTTTGGGGATCGCAGTACGCATTTGGCTTAGAGCGGTAATATACTTTCGGTTTGTGTGGACGGATTTGTCGGTGTACTTGCCCGATGGGCTGGTATTGGTAATTTTCGGTATTTGGCGGGGGTGGATTGTATGTAATCCGCTTGTATCGAATATCTTAGTCTGTTTTAGCGTATACACACAGGCGACGATGGGTTCAGGCTGCGGCTAGCAGACTTTTCCTTCCTGTATAGGCCAATGACGGTGGAGATAATTGGGCTATAAGGAAGAAGATTTTGATCTCCAGATCGGTGCCCGATGGTGAATAGTCGTAGCCTAGAGGGATCTTTTGGACGATCATTCGTATCCGCTCGTTGATACTGCAATCGTGCTTCTCACCTGACCATGTATATGGATTCTGGGTGCATGGGAAACCAAATATTGTGTAGACCGCCTCGGGTAACTTGATGATTGGCCCAACCTGTTCACCTTAGTGGCCGTCCTGACATGCATGCGCATACCAATTGACTTGTGAAATTTGACAAAGGGCTCTTTTCCTTCTTGTTGTTACGAGAAGGAAAAGCTTGCTATCTCGGCCTTGGGTGAAACAAGCCACATCACTACCTTCGTCGTCATTATGGAGATAGACGGATATCAAGTTATCAACACCTTCCAAGTATAGCAACACAACACATCTGTGGCTGTTTGTGCATCGAGGCCATTGTCCAGCATTAAGACTGAGCAGCCGTTTAACGTCAGTTACGGGCCCGGAGGACGTCGCTCCGATTGAGTTCATGCTATGCGTAGAACCCCGCTAGAGACAACATGGAACCGTCCATCGAAGGTCGAGACGATCCGCACTAGTTGTATCTGCCTTGCCGGAGGAGGCTAGCGTGTATCTTTGCGCGGCGAGATTCCGTCGGATGCGGGATTCCAGCACACAGAATTCCGCATACCAGATGATCTATTTTGTGGTATTATAACCGCCATTGAAGCTTGTCGAGAGTCAGACCTTTGGTCAATTACTTTGTAGAACAGGTATAACTGAGTCCTTATCGGGCATGGATTGCTGGATTCAGGAACCACAGTATTGTTGGTGCTGATGGCTCAGGGCCAGGTCGTATGGACGGAGTAATCACGGAGAAACTGATCCCTTTCCGCGCTAGCCGGAAGAGCTAGGAGTCACATGATAGCAATGACTTTTCCTGGTGCGGCGTACCTCGAATACGCGCTATCCCGAGCTCACAACCAATGATATGTCTCACGTTACTTCAATTTGCTGGTTCACACTTGAAGCTACGGCGTCTTGAGAGTCAGGCGATTGCTTGATTTGCTGGGTGCAGTCAGTTGTAGATCAACCGTTCCCAAACCCCGAACCGTACCATGTAGGCCTACCGCTTGTTTGGTTTGCCGCACATATTCCATTACCCAACACACACATTGCGAATGCCGTGTTATGCAGCCGGGGGGGCTCGTAGCTGGCAGCTAGCTGTATTACCCTCAAATTAGGGTCCCAAGTCACGCTCCTGAATATCCTCGTCAGTGGGTCCAAGTTACATTCATCCGGGCTCAACTTACTCGATTCGTCCTAAACCGCAAAAGCCACCTGCGAATCAGAACAGGCAGCGCTCTGTGCGCCTAGTTAGTGAGGGGGAGGCGCGGGGAGCAAGCCCTAGTCACGACGATGATTTGGCGGGGAAGTTGGGGACGCGTTTCTTAGTGAGGCTTTTCTTCTGCCCGCCCCCGGCGAGACTTATCACCATTCAATCACCGTAGCACAGACAAACGTACGCCCGGTATAATTTGAGTTGTGGCTTTGTTGAAGGATCAGGGATTGCATAGGGCTTGGGAAATTAATGTCACCATATGGTGTGGTACAATGGCGTCGGTGTCTCCCTGCATATCAAGATCGGAATGTTGGTGGGATTTGGAGCCAAGTGACCGGGTATTCCGCGGGGGTTTAGGCTTAGTGGTAATGCCCGGGTTCCAACGGGGTTTTTGTCGGTATCAATAGTCCCGTTTACATACGGGGGTACTTGTGCTGTACCACTCGCTTGCTTATTCAACTCGACTCGTTTGCATTGCCCGGCCTATGCTCTTTACCAAACGGGTAAATTAGAAGATGAAGTCGCTGACAGTGGTTCGAGAGGCTGATGGAGCGTTGCACTTCGCTATCATTTGCTTTCTAGGAGGATGTGGATGAGAAACAGGATACCCATGTTCATCATTACCCGGGTATATTCCTATTGCGATTGCCAGCCGGAGAATCCTCAGTTTACCTGCTTTGTGCAACCGATGTACATTTGCAAACAAGTCAACAGTCGTATCATCACCGCCTGGTCTGGAATCATCATAGCATCATCTGTGGCTGCTATCTCCGCTTGACTTTACCGGGGGCAAATATCGCTGGCCAAATCCCAATGAAGGGAAGATCCAAAGTGTCGGTGTGATCGATTTAAGTTTAACTTCCTTTCTTCATGGAGGGTAGCAGCGAGCCAATTTTCCGGTTATCAGGAGCTGTGCTGTGGGCATTGTTGGGTGGAACTCTGCCGAAGACTTGATATAGGACCCTTCCAACAAATTGGGTACACTAGGTTAGAAGTCTAGGTAACCGTTCCACCTACTGACCTTCCTCTTCTCGTAACTGTCGGTGTTCTGCCTTATTTGGGACGTACGTATATGTCCACATAGAGTATAACGTCCAGTAGGTGGAGGCCAACGTGAAGAAGATCAGTGGACATGTACACACCATTCTTACAAGCCACAAGACGACGCCAGATGCCGAAATAGGGCCGGGAAAAAGCAAAGATAGACACACTGACATGTTAAGGTCAACGTCAGATGGTTACAGTCAATAGATTGCACAGTATTCCCATTCCACAACTGGCGATACTTGCAGACGGTTCTGACAGATCCAGAAGGTGGATGTTTCCCCAGATTTTCCCCGCGATGCCCAAAGATCGTCATCTGCCGGCACAATACGGGAGCATTGCCTCTCCTAGCATTCGTATCCATTTCATCTGCCCAAGAGAAGGTGCGAATAAGGTGACCTGAAAACACTCAGCACTGCCAGACCGACTTCCATCACGTGGTCACATGGCGGCTGGCATCACTGCAACAGTCAGCATCATTTGTACGCCCCGCGACGAGAATCCAAACCTCTACTAGATTAGGTACCATTTTTTTTTTTTTCTTTTTTTGTCTTTTCATCTGCTCCCCATGTCTGCCGGTGATGAGAGCCGAAGGACTGTATCTCTAGCGTTGTCCCTCCAGCATCCGTTGGCCAGGACCTGGCGACTGTCGATCTCCGGGTCACCAGATCTCTGCGTTGGCAATTCGATCACATTGCGGATGTTCCCTTGCTCCTCCTGGAATCCCGAGATTACGCGCTGACAAGTCATCAATTCAGTGACTTCTTAATATTGCTTAGCGACTTTCCCGCCGATCTTTTACGATATTATGCTCCCCCTCCTTATTATTATTTCACATCACACGCCCGTGATCCGGAGCAAGCAGGATACCTTGTCCTCGGGGCCCCAGTCAATGGATTCTAATCCTGGGAGATGATGGGAGATGATGATGATAGAGCTGCTGTCCTGTTTCGACGACGAGGTCAGCCTTTCACATTCACAAATCTGTCAGTCATGAGCCTCCGTCCCCCTACATTAGGTACACTACAACAACTGCAGATTCATCCATTTCTGGATGCTTCCTCCGGGCTTCGTATTCCAGGTCCAGGCCTGTCGATCAGCGCCGATACCTCCCCCACCCCCCCATGTACTTTTTTTATGTCATTATGATCGCAATTTCATTCCATTTAGGTATTCTATCTTTGTTCTATTATCAGGCCTTCAACAACTACTATCCATAATACATCACTGGGTCTGACTGACACTTTCAGCCCGCAGCTTTTCTTTTTTTGGCTCGGTCACACGCTCCTTTCAATTTCCTTCCCCATATTATTGTTGTAATCCTTATTTTGACATACTCGGGCCCTTCTCCCGCAGGTGGCGCTGTATATGTGTGAGTGTGTGTTTGCTGGCGCTCAGCCTCAGTGTTCAGAAGCAGGCTCTGGGTCGCATTCTGTACATTCATCCGCGGAACAGCAGGTCAAATGCCTCTCTCTGCTCTGCTATGCTTTGCTTTGTGGCGAGAGGGGGGAGAGGTCTAGCCTTATCCTCGCTGTTCTACTTGCCTATTTTTTCTTCCCCCTTGTTGATTTTGTAGGCGCCACCGTGTGCATGTGCGCGCGCCTTATCTCAATGCAGCTCTGATTGGTATTTCATATACGTGGTTTTGCTGGTACGCGGATGGCCACTGTATTGATGCGCATGTCCAGGGTAGGTGGGCATTGTTGGCCCTCGGATGGAAAGGGGGCGGGTTTCACAGGTGGTGGAGCAATGACACGAGGGTCCTCACGTGCTTTATTCGTTTTCATCCTCGGTTTGGTCTATGGCCTATGGTCATGGTTCAGGGTTGGGATGTTTGCTGACTGGGCAGCGGTCATATCTCTTTCTTTGACTATGGACTGGTTGCTCTAATCATACAGGATGCTTATTACAAGGTACTAGTTGGGAACGACTGGAGATGAAAGGTAGCTTGCAGAGAAGCGGGCTTTAGTTCAAGGACCCCTTGGAGTTGTCTGGGAAGCGTCTCTCCCAGCCTACAATAGCAGGCTTCATGGGACCCGAGAAGAGAGTCGAGTAATCGGTTCCAGGCACTCCTTTTCTGCCATCCACATTGAATAGCTTCAGGTGACGCACGATGGTCGCGATAATGACGCCCAGATTAACGTAGGCGAACTTTTCTCCAATGCAGCGGTGGCGGCCAGCGCCAAAAGGTAGATAGGGACTAGCAGTTCCCTTAGACACGCTGCCATATCCGTAGTCGACCATCTCTCCTTCTTCCTCCTTGTCGGGTTGGTTCTCCCAACGGTGTGGATCCCACCGGGTTGCGTTGGGAAAGTATTCATCACTAAGCGCTGTTACGCCTGGCGAGGCGAGTAGAACACGGTCTTCGGGGATAACGTAAGATGTGCCAGGTACTGGTAGCGGGTTCTTCACCTTGCGCATGATCGAGTGGATGGACGAGTGGATCCGTAGGGTCTCCTTGATGACACTCTGGAGGAGTGGCAGCTTGTCAAGGTCCTGATACTGCAATGGCTCGAAGACCCCGTTCCTGTTGCTGAGGCTGGCCAACTGTTCTTGATAGAGCTCTTCAAGCACTTGAGGCTCAGAGGCTAGACGCAACATGATCCAAGAGCTGATTGAGGAAGAAGAGTGTTGCCCTGCCATCAACAGAGTGATCATCATGTGGGCAATCTCTTTGTCCGGTACTGGCTGTCCATTCTTGTAGGTGCAATGCATCAGGTTCCAGATCATGTCGGACTTCTCCTCGTCGGGATTCTTGCGCCGTTCGTTGATGATGTCCGTGTATATCTCTCTCATCCGAGCATGAGCAGCATCACGCTTCCGGTTGTGCGGCAACGGAGCCCAAGGGAGCATAAAGTTGATGGGGCTGAACCCCTTGTCTAGATCGTGGTACAGTTCAGCGAACTCTGCAGTAAGCTTCTTGCGGACCTCCTCGCCCTGCAACGCGCGTCCAGCAGTATAGATTGTAATCTCAGCCATGGCAGCAGGAATATCAATGACTCCACTCGCACCGTTGAACCGTGGAGAGTCTCGGAGATAGTCGAGTGTCTCCTTTTCAATCAGCTGGACGTGTGACTCGAGCGCCGCTTGCGTGAGGCCAAACTTGATGAATTTCTTTTGTTCCATCAGCTTGGAATTAGGGCAATCGTACACAACGTCGGACCCGAACACCGGGGTGGTGAGAGGGCTGTAGACCTCTTCCGCGCTCACGTCCTTGAGTTTGCCATTGAGGATGAAATCGTTGCCTTGAACGCCCAAGTATACGGTGGTCTTTTTGCCCAGGAGCACGAAGCTGAAGATGTCCCCGTACTATTCAGCCACTTTGATCAGTAATCATTGGCCATCGCATGATGCACAGTAGCTGACCTTTTTCCTGCAGGAGAAGAAGAATGCATAGGGATCCATTCCATAGCTGATTGTGCTTCCCAGGAAGGGAATCCAATGAAAGACAACAGGTGGTTCTTTCTCGTTGCGAACGAGCAACTGGCGCGCGACATTCAAGACTATCGCAACGAGCAACGCTGCGAAAGCGTAGGCGCCTGCGACAGCAAGATATGCCATCCTGGAAGCGACCGTAGGTAGAGAGAAGGACCAATTGATGGGAGAGGTGTTTGTAAAGGAGAAAGTCAGGAGCAAGACATCGAAGGAGTAGATTGTTGTCCGCTCATGACTGTCTGAAGATTAACATAAACAGCTTTAGGCGCCACGACCTATTAGATATCCCTCCCAAGATCTTACCCCTGGCACTGAGCTACATCGGTCCATTCCACCGTAATGGTTCGCAAACATTGTCAGCAACGGAAGGAGGCATTGCTCGCGGTGGTTCCTGAGCCGGATCAGACCACTTGGAGATCCTTTGGATAAAGTGTCGAACCATGCAAGGCTCCAGTGATGTTGACAGTCGTTCTGGCCACTCACAGCTGTGTCTGGAGCATTTAGTGGATTGGGGGCAATCGCTGCCATCGTATTGGATACGCCCGCACATCATTGGACCATTCCGTCTTGCCTTGGACCGGGTCTCCAAAACTAACCCCTTTTATCGTCAGCATCGCCACTTTGTGGCTTCAACTGTGGATGCCTGGCTTTCGAGAGCTTTCTGCTCAGTTCACTTTGATACCAAACAGTCACCTGTGTTTTAGACATCACGACTCAAGATGAGTCATGATGATGGCGACCAGCATTTGACTCAAAACTGCCAATCCAGACAGTCATTCGCCTGCCTTACCCTTTTGGGACTAGCTGTCCCGTGAGCTCCACCCGCCGCCCGCAAATATACATCCGCTCCGATACCTGCTTCTTGCCATGTAGTTCACCAGTCTATTCATCTTATCCTACAGCAGCTCATTTCAAGGCATTCCAACATGAGCAACGCACGAACAGGGGGCTCTGCGGGTGCTAGCTCTGCTGCCGGTCAACGACCAGTGTCCAAAGCAGAAGCCTCGAACCCGCGAGAGTTTCAGCTCAACCAGCTCAGAAGACGGTTCCATCCGACAGAAACCAGCAATGACGATGGAACGACATTGAGTTTCGGCTTGGCTCCCTCGGATCCTGACTTTCCGTTTGATATGGACAAGCTTCAGTGTATCTTGCATATTCCCGGGACATATCCCGCGCAAGGACGGCCGTCTATCAAAGTCACCAATCCTGAAATGGGCAGTGCGTTTCAGGAAAACATCTCGAGAGGATTTGATGATATAGTCGATAGCACTATCAGAAGTGGTAGTCGTGGGACTTTGCTCAGCTGGATGAACAGTCTCGATCGGCATTTGGAGCGTTTGCTCACTACTACGGAACGGGGGCCGACGTTGAAATTCGTGCCTAACGTGGGCGGCAAAGGGAAGTCGGAGGAGCAGAAGCTAGTGTCAAACATGAGTTCTCTAGCTGTGTCTTCTGGGAAGAAGACCAATTCGATTCAGATGGAAGCAGCGAGCCCTCAGCCTCCGAAACCCGTATACACCGCGGAAGAGAAGGCTCAGGCGGAGAAAAGAAGAACAGTTGAGACGAAGCAACTTGACGCTCGTCTGGGAAGGCTGCCTCTTTTTCAAAAGTCCAGCGATGGTCTGTCGTTCGTTATTCCAATCCAACCGACTAAGCTAGATCGTCTGCCTATTTCTGTTCGCTCCGTCAAGACAGTGAAGCTCCTAGTGCCTAGCTTGTATCCTCTTGAACCGAGCACTGTTCATTTGCAGGGCATTGATAGCCCAGAAGGACGAGCTGTGGAAGCTGGCTTCTCGCAGTGGCTTGAAGGGAACAAGCAGTTGAATCTCGTGTCTCAAGTGAATTACTTAACAAGCAATATGCATAAATTCGCCAAAACACCGCTAAAAGCTCCTGAACCAGCTCCTGTGCCCGTGGTATCTGATGATATAGTACCCAGCGAGCCTCCATCTCAAGCAGAAGGAGTGACATTGGAAGATAAACCACACGTTCACGTTGTGCCCCGCCCTCCTGAATGGGCTGTGGGTGATAACGGTAGTGACACTGACGACTCGGAGATGACTCCGTCTGAGGATGAGTTTTCTGACGACGATGAGGAAGAAGGCGGGGCTCCCGTTCCAGATCTTCCGGCGCCTACGACGGCTGAGCGTGGTGTCGCCCTCTCTTTCCCTTTTCTGGAGCTCTACGGAATCGAGCTTTTGGAGCTTGTAGGTCTCTACATCACCATAAAGTGTGATCGATGCAAAGAGCAATTGGATGTCAGAAATATTCCACAGATCAAGGACAAGAGTGATGAGCTGTCTCCTAAGATCGAGAGTTGCAAGAAATGTGCAAACACCATGAGCCTCGGTAAGTACACCACATGTCGTTCAAATGCTATATGAACTACGGAAGTTGACACGCCTCCAGGGTTCCGTCGACAGCTTATGCATCCTAGTGCTACTCGTGCGGGCTATCTTGACTTGGATGGGTGCACAGTCGTTGATCTTCTACCTAGGTAAGTTGGATCGGATGACAGATTCCACGTTGCGCACCGAAAACGCTGACAATCTCCGCAGTAGCTTTATCCCAACCTGTGCGGAATGCTCAACAGCGTTTCCCGCGCCTGGTGTTGTTGCAGTTCGGGGCGAAAGTGCCATGGCGAACTGCCGACAATGTCACCGCAAAATGGGTATGTGTTGGATCATCTAAACACGGACCATCTGCTTACAACTACAGTCATGAAAATTCCAGAAGTCAAGTTTCTGAAAGTGGGGTCGGCAGCATGTGAGTTCTCCATAAAATGAATGTTGACAGAATGCTGACAGCTATCGGACAGATTCATCTCGATTCCGCGAGCCTCCACGGAAGAAGGTAATCCACTACATTTATATCTTTCCTCTGAATTATGCTAATCGTCATCGACAGCCCAAGGAAGTTCTCGGCATCGTTGCTGGTCAAGAATTGCCTCGTCGTGGCCGCTGTACGCACTATGGCAAGAGTTATCGTTGGTTCAGGTACTACCTGTCATGCAGGTGCTCCATTGATGTACTCTAACGATAAAATAGATTCAGCTGCTGTGCGAAGGTCTTCCCTTGCGATAAGTACGAGCACATCATGCCATCATCCCATGTCAAAGCTAATATAAGCAGATGCCACGATGCCGCTACAGACCATCCCAATGAGCATGCTAACCGTATGATATGGTATGTGCCCTCAATCCTGACATAGTCTACAAGGCGATCCTAACGGCTACAGCGGCTTTTGCTCACGAGAGCAAATCTACCGGCCCGAAAATTGCGGAATATGCCGGGCAGTGCTGATTGGCAAAGCCGGTAGCGGATTCTGGGAGGGCGGAAAAGGAACGAGAAACAGAGTACTTATGAGTCGGAAGGGTATGTTTGGTTGCCTACGTTTATTTGTTTCTTATTTTCATGGATGGCTGACAATTGATATAGATCCACGTAAATACAAGCGTCGTGGGGGAACAGCACCAGGCGGTGCCAGTTCCTCGAAGAAGTAGTAGACTAGCGACACGATGAATGAAAATATATATTCCCGCGTGGGGAATGCATATATATCCTTTGTAAAGAACCTATACAAGGAGGATGAAGTGTAGACTTTTGCACAAATACTTACCACATAATATCACTAAGAGACCGACACTTGTCCCAACTTAGCTTTACCATAGTAAACCCGACAATATCGCCTGCTGACAACCCACGAGTGTCACATAAACAGCCGTCAACGATCTGATAAGATAGATAGATAGATAGATGGATAGATAACCCACGAATCGGCCAAAGGAGCCCTGGAAGTGAGTCTCAATGACAACCTATCCCGGTCTTTGATGTCTGTGTTCTCTAAAGAAAAGTAAAACAGCAACTCCTTCAACCAAGCCAAAAAGAATAAATTAAAGACATGACATGAATAAACCACTACTGTACTTTAGCTAGAAGCTAGAAGAAAAACAAAAAAAATGATCATGCTCCGATAGGGGGAATCGAACCCCCGGCTGCCGTGTGAGAGACGGCGATGTTAGCCACTACACCATATCGGATTCTTGTTGAGGAGTACAATTTTCTTTGGCTATAAGAGGGGAAGGGGTAACTGTTATTACTTCGAACACTTTATACTTGTATACTAGTAGGCTAGTAGCCTTCTTGTATAATGACTCGCGAGGGCACATATACACTTGTTGATTCCACAATCGTTGCAACTTGCTGAACATATTATATGTGTCTTTCACAGCGAAAGATGCTATCATCATATAATTCATATTAATCGAATTACCCCATTAATTGATAGAATGAATTAAAGACTCGATAAATAACGGTTTGGTTACACAGTATCCCGAATCGTTCTTTACCTGAAGTATTGTCTGTTGTTTGGTTTCAACTAGTCCAGTTCAATCCAGTACAGCACTAGGAAATCCAAATAACAAAGAGCATAGAAATAAGAAATCTAACAATCAATGTACTTGGCAACCTGGCCGAGTCGTACGCCATTTCCTTTGAAATAACTGTCTTGCAGTTCTGTACCATGAATTAAACATCAGACGAGGTTACCACGCAGAGCCTGTTCCCTCTCAAGTGCCTCAAACAGCGACTTGAAGTTGCCGGCACCGAAGCCGCTGAAGTTGTGGCGTTGGATGATTTCGATGAAGACGGTTGGGCGGTCCATTAGGTGCTATATCATATTCATTAGTATATTGCATTGAATTATTAAAGTGGGAAAATGGTTTCACATACCTTAGTGAAAAGCTGGAGCAAATACCCGCCCTCATCAAAATCGATGAGAATGTCAAGGTTGCGGATGGTTTCAAAATCCTCGTGAAGAACCAAACCCGTCTTCTTGAGACGGATCTTGATGTCCTCATAATACGTGTCGGGGACCTTGATAAATTCAACTCCGCGTGCCTTGAGGTTGGTGATGTCCCGGATGATGTCGTCGGTTAGGAGTGCAATGTGCTGCACACCGGCGCCGTTGTAGTAGTCCACATATTCCTCGATCTGGGACTTCTTCTTGCCGACGGCGGGCTCGTTGATGGGCATCTTGACGACTTCGTTGGGAGATGCCATGACGATGGACTTGAGGGCAGAGTATTCACTATCATCTCGTGAGCTTACTGTTCAAGAGGAAAAGTTGGTGGATAGTTACTCACGTGCAGATGTCCTTGTCGTCGACAGACCAGAATCGGTGGAAGCCGAGGGCCTTCTCGTAACTGTTACACTGTGGTCAGCACCTTCTTCTCATGAAAGATGAGGTTGTTAACATACTATTGGCAAACACGGTCCATCTCATCCCAATCCTGGTTACCGACGCAGTGGTCGACACGGTTCAAATATACACCGGGCAAATACTTGGTGATAGGGTCTTCGGGTCCGTCCTCAGGTCGATACCCGGGCAGGAACGCTCCAGAATACGACTTGCGCTCCAGAAGGGTGTGGGTGGTCTCGCCATACGTCTGGATAGTCGCAACCCGAACGTACCCGTCCTTATCTTCGAGGCTGCGTGGCGCAGAGACAATCTTGGCACCGTTGGCCACGGCGGCTTGATATACTGCGTCGACGGAGTCAACTTCGAAGGAGACGTCCTTGACGCCGTCACCGTGCTGTTCGAGGTGCTCGTGGATCTCGCGGAGCTGCTTCTGCTCTTCAGGGGTGAGGTGTTCCATTTGGTCGAGGGAGCGGAGAGGAGAGGTTAGGACGAAGGTGATGTCGCCATTGCGGACGACGTGAGAGCAGATGGCACGGCTGCCGGTTTCGAGGCCGCGATATGCGACCCGCTTGAAGCCCATGCGTGTGACATAATATGAGGCGGTGATTTTGGCGTTGCCGACGTACCAGTGGACGTGGTCATACCCCTTATAGCTGGAGATATCGGAGGTGGTAGCGGTAGCTGGTTGGGGGGAGGGAGGAGAGGAGATTGCGCTGGGTGCCATGGTGATGGGAGTGTATGTTGTATGAAGAACAGCAAAGAGATTCTATAATACTTGGGTATAGAGGAGAGGTATCAAAGAAAACTATTATGTATCATGAAGAGGAATGCGCCTGGCTACTGAGGGTCTACTTCCAGAGAGATGAAAGGGGGTCCCAGGACCATCTTTATAAGTCCGGATGAGGGCGGGCCTCCTGACACAGTCAATAGTTATCGGGAGGGTCCGTTTCCAGAAGTCGAACTCAGTGAATCGGCCATGAATCATAATTACATTGTTTTGGGAAAGAGTAGAGGATAAGCAAGCAGTAGCAGTTTGCAGGACGCCAGGATAGTAAATCAGCCGGGCCGGATGTCGTCGGTTGACCCCGGAGAAGCCCGGCTGTCGGCGGGTATTTCGACTCCCGCGGAACATCCGCTGCCTCGTTTACATCATGAGAACATCCACTCCGATGCATGCGGTGATTGCCACGGTCCCTGGTTTGGATCTCGTTATAAGATAGGCTTTGATAAGCTCCGTCCACATGGCTCCGCGGACTATCGGTGAGCGTAGGTTAACTCAAATACTAACGATTGTTCACCATTTTCGGTGTCACCGATAGCAAGCATCCTCACTGCGATCACTACCTTATTATCAGCTACATCCCCTTTACCTCGATATACGTCCAACCACAGATAACTCCATATTTCAAAGTCCTGCGAAGGCGATAAGCAAGATGACCCCAAACCCAACGGCTAAACCCAACCTTACCACCAATGACTCCGCCGTCCTCCAAGCCCTCTTCGACGCCGAATCCTCCCCCTCCAACTCCATTACCATTAACTCTTCTCTCCCCGCTTATCCAGCCCACCTCAACATCACCCCAGAGCTCCTTCAGACCCTGCAATCTCGCGAGGTCTCTATAATCCGAACCCTACAATCCGAAACCACCTTGGACATCTCAACCATCCAACAAGCGATCAAGGATCTCGACACCCTTATCGCTCAACATCCAACTTACCCATCCGCATACGTCAACCGCGCGCAAACGCTCCGTATTCTCATTGACAAGACCAATACTACCACTGAGAGCAGCGGTCAAGACAATGACGACGACAAGATCTTTGCCCCCGAAAACACAGAGCCCGCATCCACGTTACTAGCAGACCTAGGGAATGCTATTACACTAGCGACGCCTCGGTCACCTGCTGATCCGGTGTCAACAGTCCAGGCGCGCTTGTTGGCGGATGCGCATACGCATCGCGGGTATTTGCTACTCAAAGCGGCGAGAGTGAAGAAGGAGAGGAAAGAGGGAGAAATTATCGGTGGCCCGGAACAGTTGCGTGCCGTGGAGCCGGAGCAGTTGGAGGATATGGCTAGTCGCGATTTCTTCTTTGGGGGCAGGTATGGAAATAAGGTTGCACAGCAGTTGGCAGTGCAAACGAACCCGTATGCGAAGATGTGTGGGGCAATTGTGAAGGAGGCCTTGAGGAAGGAGGTTGTGGGTGATGATGTGGTGAAGATTTGATTTGTTTACTCGAATTAGCTGGTTTGGGTGCTTTGCGGGGGGGTGTAGTTTCGTTTTGGATGCTTGTTACATTCGTGTCTTACAATTTGTCAATTTGTCTCACATACCCAGATGAACGCGGATAGATGTTTCAAATTCTCCATTCGGCTATGACTGAATACTACTACTACTAGTACTACTACACTGGTATCTGAATAATGCCTTCGCTTTTCGTAACTTCGTCGAATCAGTGCTTAATGGTCGTCCTTGCACATTGTGTCCACGGAAGTGTTCGGGTTCCGGAAATGCCTCTGCAGCGGTTGCCAGCTGTGCGCGTTGTATTGTTCTTGCACCTTCTGACAGGTCTTCAGGCCCCATTCCGACACGCCGACCATGAGACAGCTATCATGGAGTTAGTTGATGTTGGCTTGAAATACAAGTTTGCTTACCTCTCAAACATAAAGGCCATGCTGCCATCGCCGACCTTTTGCGGCTTCAAGTCAGCATTACTAGCACCTTCAAAGGCGTCCTTGTCCGGACCGTGGGCGCTCATGACGTTGTGCAAACTGGCGCCCGCCGGCTGGAAGCCTCCACCAGTCTTGGCATCATATGCACCGCAAATCAAACCCATGAATTCAGACATGGTGTTGCGGTGATACCATGGCGGGCGGAAGGTGTTCTCCGCCACCAGCCAGCGGGGCGGGAAGATAACGAAATCGGCAATGGCAGTGCCATTGTGGTCGGACGGACCAGTGAGGACGGTGAAGATGGACGGGTCCGGGTGGTCGAAAGAGATAGAACCTATCGTGTTGAAACGGCCCAAATCGTACTTGTAAGGGTAGTAGTTTCCGTGCCAAGCAACAATGTCAAATGGGGTGTGGTTCTGACGGGCGGAGAAGAGCGTATTGTTGAACTTGCTGTACAGACGGAATTCGGATGGCTCTTCCTCGTCTTCAAAGTAGGCAACCGGCGCTTGGAAGTCTCGCGCGTTGGCAAGGCAGTTGGATCCGATGGGTCCCAATTCGGGAAGCTGGTAGTGGCCCTGATAGAGCTCACAGATGTATCCCCTTACCGGTCCTGCCGGAAGAGTCACACGGTATCTGTAGAGCATTAGTCAAAAGTTCTTCTACAAAAATGACATGCAAGTCTCCGTTCTCACCTCACACCACGAGGAATCACGCAGATCTCATTGGGCCGAACCAGGAGGCGTCCCAATTCAGTCTGGATATCTAGCACACCGTGCTGCGGCACGATCAAAAAGTCGCCGTCGGCAGAGTAGAAGGCTTCCTTCCCCATGTCTTTGCCCGCAGCGTATAGGATTATGCCCAGGCCATGTTTGAGAGTGGGATCACCGGCACCAGCAACAAGGTGAAGACCATGGACCCAATCCACAGTCTCATCCAAGTCGAAGGGATCCCACCGAAGCTGGTTTGGGATGTGGTGAAGCTTCTGTGTTTCGGTGGTCATGTGGGTGTGGTATGAGTCGCCATCTTCGGCCACAAAATTCTGGTGAGCAGCCGCGGGGAGGATTCGGTACACCCAAGTCTGTCTGTTCTCATGTCTAGGGGCAGTAAAAGCTGTCCCCGAGAGCTTCTCCGCATAGAGCCCATACGGCACCTTCTGTGGCGAGTTCTGTCCTATAGGCAGAGCTCCCTTGACAGCCTCCGACCTAGTAGTAGGAATCAGTCAGACTTGACATCGACAAGCGCCACCCAGAGACCCCTGCTTCCTAGCACTCACTCATGGTACGAGTCAAAGCCGTTCTGGTAGGAATATGGATCAGCGTGTTTGAAGTTAGTGACGGGCATGGTGGGTAGCTGTTCAGTGGTTCAGTCTCTATGACTGCTTCACTACACAAAGCGTTCCTGAGCCAAGGAGGTTATATAAGAGTGGATTAGCTTGTACAACTCGCACGCTCTCCCCTGATCATGTGCATGGGTGGCGAGGGGCAGCACGGGACTGGGATGCGCCATCGGCAAGGCCACCAAAAGCCATTCAATTTCCAGGGGATTCGCGGGATTCGGTGTTCCTGGAGCAAATCGGGAAAACCGGGGATCTGCGGGGGTGCGGAATTGGGGCCGGCGGGGAAGCTGAACTGCCCGCGCCGGCCGGCAATAAGCGGGCGCGGAGTCTATTCCGCTGCCCTCCTCTCCTCCATCGGAACCCCTCGAGGGGTAGTTGTCACAGGATTCGTTTTTAACATCGGCATCGCAGTTGTCTCTATGTTGCTGCTGGATAGCTACTGACTACTTGCATTTTCCCTCTTTCCATCACATTCTCCCGTCCTTAATCGCATCCTTCCTCACCATGGCTTCCTGGCTGCAAATTCCCAAGAACTCGCCATTCTCGCTGGCGAACATTCCATTCGGTATCATCACCTCCGCGAAAGCTCCCTCGCGCGTAGCAGCTATTGCTATCGGTGACTATGCGCTGAACCTGAACGCCTTTGCTTCATCCGGCGGCTTCTCCCAGCTACCCGCGATCCAGCCCCATTTGAACGTGTTCAACCAACCCACCCTCAATGCCTTTGCAGCCCTGGGCCGTCCAGTTCACCGTCAAGTCCGCGAATACATTCAGTCCGTTTTTCGCGCAGATACTCCTTTTCCTCAGGTCTTGAAGGACAATGAGTCCCTTCAAAAGCTGGCCCTCCTGCCGCTATCGGAGGTGACCAACCATCTTCCCATGCAAATCGGAGACTACACAGACTTCTATGCCGGCCTTAACCACGCCTACAACCTGGGTGTCCTGCTTCGTGGACCAGACAATGCTCTGCAGCCCAACTACAAGCATCTGCCAGTCGCATACCACGGTCGCGCCTCGTCCATCGTGGTCTCAGGCACCCCCATTCACCGTCCCAACGGTCAGATCCTGGCCAACCCTACCGCAACCCCCAAAGTCCCTACCTTCTCTCCTTGCAAGAGACTCGACATTGAACTAGAGATGGCTGCTTTTGTTAGCACCCCTAATGACATGGGCAAGCCCGTCTCTGTTAACAACGCCGAAGACCACATCTTCGGCTTGGTGCTCATGAACGACTGGTCCGCTCGTGACATCCAGGCCTGGGAATACGTTCCTCTGGGACCGTTCAACGCCAAGAACTTTGCAACCACCATCACCCCCTGGGTTGTCCTGATCGATGCTCTAGAGCCCTTCCGGGTTCCCAGCCTGGAGCCCGAAAACCGGGAAAACGTCCTGCCTTACCTGCGCGAGAAGCGCACCGACAACGTCTTCGACATTCCCCTCGAATTCGAGATCACCAACCAAGGCGGCCAGCCTACCACCGTCTCGCGAAGCAACGCCAAGAACCTCTTATTCTCCTTCCCTCAGATGCTGGCCCACCACACCATCACGGGATGCAACCTCCGGCCCGGTGACTTGCTCGGTAGTGGAACCATCTCCGGCACGGAGCCCCAGACACAGGGCAGCTTGTTCGAGCAAACCAAGGGCAAGGAGCCTCTCAAGCTGGCCGATGGCTCGGAGCGGATGTTCCTCGAAGACGGAGACACCGTCGTCCTCAGAGGCAAGGCGGGCACAGAGGGCAACTACGTTGGATTCGGCGACTGCAGTGCCACCATTCTCCCCGCGGTGAAGCTGGAGTTCTAGATTGCAATTAGCAAGTCCTAGCTCTTATCGCACGATCGCACGTCATGAAACCCATTGCCTATTGTATTCTTCGATATGATATGATGTGAATGTGAACCCAACAATGACAAAGTTACTTTCAAGAGAGATAAGAAATCCCTGGTCCAGACCGTTCTTCCCTTCTAGTAGTCCGCGGAGCCACGGAGCCAATTCCAACTGTAGGCGTAACACCCAGATCCAGACCCACCAAACCCGAACATATACTTAAAGTCAGTCCAAACCTACATAGATAAAACTATGAAACCCACCACTTCAATCCCAAACACACTTTATCTAGCCCACCCCTCCAAACCAAACCTCTCCCTATCTCACTGCTTATCACCAACCCTAAACTCCTCCGGTGTATCATCCTGACTCCTCCAATGCGCCCTCCTAACAGCCTCCACCTCCTCCAACCTCTCCCTCACCCCCTTAATAACCGGAAAGTCTCCCAAATCCACACCCACTCTCTCCGCCCCCCAAACAGCAGGCAAAAGACACACATCCGCCAAGGTAATCTCATCCCCAACACTATACCTTCCTGCCGTTTTCTTCGCAATAGCTTCGTACGCCCGGAATCCATCCTCTACTAAGTCTTTCGACCATGTCTCCCTGTCCACGCCGAGCGGCGCCACCCGCTTCAGGATCCGCATGTTCGTGACCGGCTGCACGTCGCAGGCGATGATGTTGGCTAGGGTGCGGACTGTTGCGCGCGCGGTGGGGTCGGAAGTGGGTGGGAGGAGGGGGTGTGCTGTTGGGTGGGTTTCTTCAAGGTATTCCAGCGCCGCGAGGGACTGGGGGATGATGATTGTTTTTCCATCGTTTGTGTGTTCGGGGTTCTCGATGATGAGAGTGGGAACGCTGGCGGAGGGGTTCAGAGATGTGTTTTGAGTACTGTGATGTTCGTTTTTGAGTAGGTTGATGGGGATGGAGGTGTAGGGGATGGATTTTAGGTTGAGGGCGATGCGGAGGCGCGCGGAGCAGGAGGAGCGGAAGTAAGTGTGGAGGGTTATGGTTTGTTCGGACATTTTGATTTTGTAGAGATGTAGATGGGTAGGCTATGTAGAATGTAGTTTGTAGGTTTGTAGGTTTGTATGCTTGTGTAGTATAGAGGCTTGTAGTGTATAGCGAGTAGCAGTAGTTGTAGCAGCTAGTAGGCTAGTATGTGGGTTATATGGGTTACAGCTACCATTCTATGTACGTATTAGGTTGCAGCGGAGGTGCGGAGGGCTTGGACCGCTGCGGGGTGTGTGTGGTACAGTACCTGCGTGTGATCATTCTTTTACACAATATAACCGTGTTACTTTGGGGAATATTGCCTATATTCATTATAATCGTGGTGGTGGTTGGAATCATATGCAACTCCATTTGCATACTGCGGAAGCGTTCCGTAGGGTTGAAGGCCCGGGCTGGGAGCTATGCGCGTGGGTTGCCGCGTCTTCCCGAGGCGTTCACTCTGTCCAGACAGCCGGGTTGGACAAGGATATTCATGGGCATAATAGTGTGAATCGGATTTTCTCACTGAATCCTCTTTTTGTGAATGAAGGAGTGGGGGCGCTGCCGGGTCCCGAGTTCGAGCTGCTCGTTTCTTGGGCTTAGTTGACGTCACGGCAGTCTTGTTTGCCTGGTTCGAGGATCTGTTCTAGACAAGAGCTAAAACCTGGATCCCAGAGAGCCAAAATTGTAGGATTGGCATACCCCTGGCATATAGCGTTGCATTCAGCATAAAGTCTGATAACCAAGATGGTGCTGGTTTGTGCAGACGATGACATAACATGCAGCGTATACGGACCTCTCCGTAGCAACTCTCGATGACACCATGAGCAGCAAATACAGACCATCTTTGACACCATTTCGACCTGGATAGTGCGATTGGAATTCCAGCTGTGTTTGGCTGTCCAATGGGTCGTATCCACGGAGGTGAGTACGAGGTCAGCTGTCATATCTCTGTCCTTTGCCCGGCTTGGTTGAAAGGGCTCGGGTATTTCCAGGCCTCCGCCGCGGCAATCGGCGGGTATTTTGCGGCTCCCCGCCAACCTACACCCCCCTTTTTTCCCTTCCCACCTGCAATATCCGCTCCAGCGAACCTTTGATACCCGCCTAATCTAGCCCTTTTCTAGCCAGCCAAATATCCGGGTCTCTTTATTGCAACCTCAATCTTATCACAAAGATGCTATTGGCCGGGCCGCTACGCGTTCAGTAATGGAAGTTAGGGGGCCGTCCCGCAGCGGAGACGCCTTGAACCGGGCATACCAGCGGACCTACAAGGCCTGTCTCTCCTGTCGTCAGAGAAAGGCAAAATGCGATCTGGGAACAGACTCGGAAGGTCTCCCATTAGGACCTCCCTGTGCGAAATGTCGTAGAGAACAGAGGGAGTGTGTGTTTAGCGAGAAGAGGGCGTGGGAGAGGACAAACAAGCGAGGTGCGCGATGCCAACCCCCTTCCTGCATAACTATCAGCTTGATTGACACCGAGTAGGACCATCTGAAGAAGGCGTCACGCCACCCTCGAGTGTACGCCGAAGGCTATCAGCCACTCCCAAACGTAGCAGAGACATCCCGAACGATGTACTTCAGGTGGTTGATGACAGCCCGGTTCGTGATAATGGCAAACGCGGGGATAGTTATCACAGCCCGCAGCAGCCATACAATCCCGAGAGACGCCGTGACCGTCATCACTCCACGTCTACCTTGGCAAACTCCATGATGCGTACCGTGGTCTCAAGTGGAAACGATGCGCTTAATATTCTCTTCGAAGCAGCAGCAGTTCACAGCCAAGAGAACAGCTCCAATAGATCCGAGACACAATCACGGAATACACAGACTTCAACGGCACAAGCCAGGGACGTGGATCACTCTGGTGATCATGCGCAGACTATGTTTGCTGCTGAGGCTATAGCCAAGGCAAAGCGTCCAGTCAAACTTTCCCCTGTCTCGAAAGAGGTTCTCAGTGTTTGGGAGACTTGTCGCTTTGTCAAAATGGGGTGGTTCACTTCAAGAGAAGCAGTCACGTTGATTGATCAGTTAGTGCAAATATGTAGACGCGCATTTGAAGATTACTGACAATGCCAGGTTTTTCAAGAATATGACACCGCTATCCCCGATCTTAACAAACTTTTATGCGGACCATAATAATCACCACTGGCTCGTGACACGGGACCCTGTCTTATGCTGTACAATTTTAATGCTTTCATCGCGATACCATGTCTTACCAGGGGCTGGCGGCGAGTCTAGAAACTTCTTTATTCACCATCGACTCTGGCAGCATTGCCAGCAGCTGGTGGTGCGGCTAATTTTTGGCCAGGAGAAGTCGTCTCACACTCGGATAAGGAGCATAGGCACGATCGAGGCTCTCTTACTGATGTCAGAATGGCACCCTAGGTCTCTCCACTTTCCACCCGAGAGCGACGGATGGGATTCCGACTTGGTGCTGGCCCCAGAGCACCAAGAATCGGAAGGTTCATCAGCCGACAGGTGGCTCGAGGATATGATCGAGCCAGCCAAGAGATCGGATCAAATGTCATGGATGTTGCTTGGCTCTGCTTTATCGCTTGCGCATGAGCTTGGCATCTTCGAGCTGGATGACAAGAAATGCGACTACACTTCCGTATATGAAGGGTCTATATCTGATGACCAAATCAAGCTCCGCAGGCAGCGCGTACAACGGCTTCTATACGTATATATCAACCAGCTAGCCTGGCGAATAGGTTGTGTATCACTTATGCCACAAAGCCTAAGCCATGCTATTGCAGGTCGACAAATCAGCAGGGCTATGAGCCAACCGGGAGACGAGTGGCTAGCATTTATGGATTCCTGGATGGATCTTACAAAGCTGGCAAAATCTGTTACTGATACGTTCTTTCCTTCCGTATCGTTTGCGCGACAGCAGTTCCATAGTGGAAGGTATATCGACTTGTTGGATCACTTCCGTACTCTACTTGTCAGGTGGAAAGATGATCATCTCCGGCCACAGGGTAAGCATAGTCCCTTTCAATCGAGTGGTTTCTCCCTCATACCATCGTCGATGAATGCTAACATCTTTTAGTACTCAGCAAACACTTCTTCGATATTCTGTTTATCGAGTATCATTTCGTACGCGTCTATACCCATTCGGTAGGGATGCAGGCAGTTGTTGAACGTGCCGTTGCAGACAGTGAACCAAATGCGGAGGACGTCCGGGCCACTAATATTGATCCGATCGACTATGAGTATATCCAAGAGGTTATTGAAGGCTGCTGTCAAATACTACAGAAAGTGGCTCAACTAGGTGAAACCGGGGCTCTGCGGTTCTCCCCCGTTCGAATATTCCTTCGAGTCACCAGCTCCTCCATTTTCCTGATGAAGGCTCTTAGTTTAGGGACCCGGCCTGCAAAGCTCCGTGAATCGCTGGACATTCTCGATCGCAGCGTGCAGGCGCTTAAGTCTAATGCGCTCGATGACATTCATTTAAGTTCTCGGTATGCTGCTCTACTAGAGATGCACGTATCGCGTTTAAGACGCAACCTGTTGGCTTCTTCCAAATCGGTGAAGCATAACCATAGAGCAACTACGCAGCCCTCAATGGTGCCTTCTCACAGCATGGAAAGCGACAACGGCGCAATTATGGGCGTCCCTGTGTCGCAGAATGTGACAGACATGAACTTCATTCCATCATTGAGCGGCATCGCCGCCGACGACTGGCTGTCGTTGCCGTTTGATCCGTCAATGGCACCTTTCGGTATCAGCACTGGTGGACAATTTCCGGCATATGAAGGAGGAGCATTGAACTTCATCTGGAACCTGCCATCATAGCATTCTTGTAAATAGCAAAATCAAGGAGTGCGGGATCACGTCTGCATATTAAAATAGCAATTTTTTTTTCTCAATGCACGGGGCGTCATTTCCGCCAAACAAAGCACAGGAAAACTTTAACCTGCATATCCCTGCTTGGATTTTCTTCTATTGTCATCCCGGCGTCTAGAGGTCCTTGCCACAGCCACGAAAACCAGGGCGCGGTCTGTTTGGATGCCCGGATGGGACTTTTCGGGTGGTTATCTGCACGTGACTGCGACCCCCGTCCGAAGTCACGTTTCCCGGCGAAAAAAGCCAAAAACTTACTGTCGCGATCCGCCATCCTCTCCGTCCCGGACCCCAGACTCTGTTCTTTGAAGACAGCATCCAGCTTGTCACTCCGACCTCAACTCCTCCATCCTATCCCGATTGCCCCTTGAGGCTCATCACCCGACTATCAATTATCTCATTTCCAGCGTTCCGACCCTTGCCCGGATAAGCTTGGAGTTACCTTCTTTCGACCTACACTTCCTTTGATCCGTGCAGCTCGACCAGTACAGCAGGTCTTCGAGCTTACGACTCCACTCACCTCACTTCTTCTTCTTCGGTCCTCTCTTTTCCCTTCATATTCGATATGGATCACTCCAGAGATCCCTGCCCCTGGGTTGCTCTTAGCGACTTCGGTGGTGCTTTCTGTATGGGTGTACGTCACTGGTTCTCCCAATCGATTGTGCTTGTCATCAAAGGGTAAAAGCTAAATATACGCTGTCTCTATAGGCAATTGGTGGTGCTGTCTGGCACGGTGTGAAGGGTTTCAGAAACAGCCCCTACGGAGAGCGTCGGATAGGTGCCATCACAGCCATCAAGGCTCGTGCGCCGGTTCTCGGTGGTAACTTCGGTGTCTGGGGTGGTATGTTCTCGACGTTCGACTGTGCGATCAAGGGTATCAGAAAGAAGGAGGATCCTTACAATGCTAGTATGTTTCCCGGTCTATCCGTGAGGGATGGCTACGATGTTTCTATGCGCCTTGGAATTGGGAGTCATATCTAACGATCCACTTTGCAGTCATTGCTGGTTTCTTCACTGGTGGTGCTTTGGCCGTTCGTGGCGGTGTCAAGGCTGCCAGAAACTCCGCTATCATGTGTGCTGTCTTCCTGGCTGTCATTGAGGGTGTCGGTATCGGTTTCCAGAGAATGATGGCCGACAACACAAAACTAGAGGTGAGATCATCCCCCGCATTTGTCTCTGATGTCGTGTGGCCACTCCAGCTGCAAAGGCTACATCTCATTACTGAAGCTTATTGAGTACTGACTTGCCACTGTTTTAGCTTCCTCCTGCCCCTCCGTCCGGCGACAAGGCCGTCGCTTAATTTACCAATCGCTTCACGTTAAGACCTACGATTTCCCCACCGTTGTCAGCAATATTGCCATATTATTTATATTCCTCCCTCGTGTCTCTCTTCTCTGGTGTTGGCTGGGTCATATCATTTCAGGATGCATGGTATAGAGGTTTTCGATTCATGCTTCGATCCCTTCTCACAAAAGATGTGTTTTTGAGAAAAAAAGGGTTTTGCCGGCGATTTTGGATTGCACAGCCTTGCATCCTTGTGTATTTCTGCTTTGTCGGAGGCGAACAAAAAAAGAGACGTCTCGGCACTCATCTTCGGTTCTTCCAGAGATGTATTTTCATTTTTTCTTGTACATTAACATGCAAATCTTACAGGTGTAATGTGATATCCTTAAACTTAACTCAGTTCATACACTACTTCATGCAGGAGGAAAACCTCAAGCCGGCAATTACTCGGGGATCTAGAGGCGACTAATTACATCCATCATATTATGACATCTCCGCCATACCCGATAAGCTCTCGATGTGCCCGCCGATCTATCCATACTAGCTTTGCCACGACAAAACTATATTCCAACCCGGGGTTGGAACCGAGACTTGTTCCCTACTAGACTACAACAGGGTGGAATCAATCCATGTCCCGCTTCCTCCGCCAATGACTGATCGCCGAACACGAAGTATTCAGCATGTTCCGTGGGACAAGCGAGGCGGGGAGATATTTGTTCGAAGAATTTGTCCTCGCCGCTTTTACTATGGCCAGATGACAAGATAGGATGCATTGTGTAGATGTGACGAAAGAGTTCCTTGCCATGGGGTGGGTTAATGTGGCCGGTTACGATGGGGGATGTAGTACGCTTGAAAGCAAGTAACAATTGTTATGCTGTTGCGATGAAACAAACTAATGACAATGTTGCGCGGTCAGGGTTGAGGGTCTGTTCAATTTATTGATGATAGTACTTTGTAGTGTACGGCATTATTTTGCAGGGTTGGCATCGGTAGTATTCGGGGGTTACGCCAGCTTTACCCGGCGATGTCAGATTCTAGGTTCGGGTTTGTGCTCGGGTGTAGTATATGGCAGTCGAGGGTGGATATATATATATTGGTGAGAAAGAAAGCTGGAACTAAACTGTGGAGAAGTTTTCAGCGCAAATATATATTTATTGAGCAGGTTGACTTATGCGTCCATCCACTTGAAGCAGTTGTTCTATGATATGATTGCTATTCATGATTGGTAGAGAAGTGTTTAAGGAAGGGGGAGATAATATATGTCCACAAACTATTTCAGTTTCAAATGAAACAAAATGGTCAGCTCAGAGCTACACACATCATCATGATACTCTTCAATGTAGTCAGGATAGTATCGAATATTCATAAAGGAGAAAAACAAAAATGAAATATTTGAGCTCCGATAGGGGGAATCGAACCCCCGGCTGCCGTGTGAGAGACGGCGATGTTAGCCACTACACCATATCGGATTACTTGTTGAAAGAGGGAGTAAAATGCGCACTAGAAGCCACCATAAAACTAGGTACTAGTCCAATACCTTTTGGAGCATCGTGTTTCATGTCCCAATGTCTGTTGTTGCTTTTTCAATGCTACATCCCACCTCTCCCTTTGTCTCATAGACTACCTACATCTTCCTCGTAGAGTATACATTGACCGCGGAAGTAAGAACAACATTCTCTACAAAGAGAAAGCTGGTCGGACTCATAGTGTGGTAGTGAATACCGATGAATCCTCCCACACAGGACATTTTGGATTTTCAGAGTACACCTGAAACATGTGACAAACAAGTCAATGCTCAAGCTCTCAGAGCTCTCTCTCTCTCTCATTCTCCCTATCAGAAAAAGCTCTCTATAAGATCGGGAAAGTGAATCTGTCAAATCGGCGGGCGAGAACCAGAGGCTCTTAATCCCCACAAGACCGAAGCTTGGCGGTTCTTGCTCGATCGTCACGTTCCTCTCCTCACTTTTCCCTCGTGTAATTCTTCCCCCCCCCTCCCCTTCTTCCTTGCCTGTCCATCTGCAGCTCTTACTGCGTCCCCGACGCCCTACCATACCACTGTGTCGTCCCTCTTGATTGACGCAGCTTCTCCAATCTTCTAGGGTCATGCATTGAGCTGCAGTAACCCAGTGAATGCTCTTTCCACTACCCTCTCCATTGAACGCGTCCCTTCAAGTGTTACCATATTCGCTACGCCTCTCTTTTCCTGGCTCGACCCCCCGCGTCCCCGTGAAACATGGAAGAAGGCGCGTCTTCTCGTCCGACAGATACCCCCGAGGGCTCTGCCGGCGGTGATGATCACAATGCCGCCTCGAATGCCGCGAAGAACCCGGCCTTGAAGGATCGGAAATGCCAGTATTGCCATCAAGCGTTCACCTCTTCGTCCCTCGGTCGCCATCTGGATCAGTTCCTTTTCAAGAAGAAACCAGACGGTATACATGATGTCGAGGAAATCCGGCGCATTCGAAGCGGTATCACTCGCCGACAGGCCCGTACCTCGTCTGGCAGACGCGATACTCCCGAAAGAACAACAGGAAAAGGCCAGCAGGACTCCTACACTCCGGGCGATTCGGGGTCAAAGTCACGCGATGGCGCGTATAGGATGATGTTCAACACGCCTACGTGGCATGCGACCGGTGTGATCAATGATATTCCCAATCCTAGCCAGTCACAGGATACTAGCTCGTCTCATTCGCGCATTGCGCCCTCGCAATCACGCACTGGGCCGCTCCCTTTTCCGGATAGAGGTGGCTCGAATAACCCGGATACCATGAGGGCATTGGAGCTGGCTCTGCGCGAAGTCCTGGATAATATCAAAGCTGCAACGTATGTACATCACCTGGCATTGCTAACTATGCGCTTGTAGTCAACAGCATTGTTAGTGTATGAGCGATTGGAACGCTAATTTTTATATACCTGATAGTTCCAGAATGCGTCCCAGACTCTCCCCGTTCGATTTCGATATCCAGGCGCAAACCTTCCCTTCCCTCTGCCTGCAGTTGCTGCCTCCGCCTCCTAGTCTATTCGCAGCGAGTCCGTTTCCGTCTCCATCATCATTCCCACTCCAGCCCCCGGGAGTGGAGCATCTGGATATTGTCCGGCAAGCGCTTCGTGCTAAGATCGATCAATGGCAGTCGGATCAGCGCACCGCCGAGTCCAACAACAACTCCCAGTCCGGAAGACCAAGTCTGGGCCTAGATTCGAGTATGATCAGCCGGAGCGCGCAGCAGCACGAAGACCTAAGTCTGCGGCACTTGGAGCTGGCATTCAAGCATTGGGCCTCACTGCCCACAGATGCAAGGAGAGACGCATGGCAGCTCGAGATCACGCGCGCATTCGCAAGGGAAATGGAAAAACGAAAGTCGCTCGATGATCAGCTCGCGCGCGTCCAACAGGAGGCAAACCAACTTCGTGCCCAGGTAGAGAGACTAGGCTCCTGCCAATGGCCCAGGGAATTCGCGATCTTCCCCCCGGACACGCTCCCGCTCCCACGGGACGTCGCCCGAGAACTCGACTCCAAGGAGAGCCAAATCAGCCCTACGGCCTCTCGCTGGGACTACGATAACGTTGTCGCGAAATGGAAACGAGTCGTCATGCACGACAGAGGCATGGGCCGCGTCGGCATTGGCTACGCAAACAGCATGCAGGATGAATATCGCAGCGCAGAACCCAGACACCCACCCACTACCACCGCACCCGCAACCACCAGCGACGATCCAACCCGCTCCAGGATGTTGAACCCCCCGTCGGCACTGAGCCCCGGCCCGTCCCCCTCAAACACAAGTGGTGGACCCTCCGCGCCTCCAAGCCAGCAGACCTCGCCCTATATGCACCAACATGACAGCACCCGGAGTCCTGACGAGGGCCCGCAAGCCAAGCGGCCTCGCCTGATGAACGGCCACCACATCGAGAACCCTCCGCACGCTCCTGACGGCGCACCTGCCCCTACTGGCCCTACTCCCTCCTCTACTTCTGCTACCACAACAACGGCTACGAACCAGGGACCCGCTCCCGCTCCTCCCTCCACTACTTCCTGGACTACCACTAGTGCCCAACCGTCCGGTATACCTTCAAACCCTGCCAACCCTGCAGGTCCCACCCCTCCGCCGTCTTGTTCCGGGTAAGAACTGTCTTTGGAGTCCAACTGGACATATCACATCCTCTTAAAGTCAGTTCCAGAGTATGAGTATCGCCTGTGAACAAAGAGGAGTGGTTATCGCCATGTGTGCACACGTGTTTATTCGATCAATGTGTTGCTGTTACATATGATCTCGGAGATCTACCAAGCTAGCTACCAAGGGCTCCAAATTATTGTGAAGATTGGTGTTGGGCTACAATACAAACTCATGTTCCATACAAGCTTTGGGAGGAGAGAGAGAGAGAGGGACCTACCATACACTCTCTGCTGGATGTAAATATCCAAAATGGCATCACCGCTGCATGTTCACTTTTCTCCATCTATTGCAAAAAGACAAAAATAATCTTGGCAGAGAGTAGTTATCTAATGTGCAAAGTACTTATAGCATTATGTCACACCGGACTGATAAATATTAGTAAGGGTACATGTGATAACATTATACATTCTTCAGAACTTGAGAAGTATACAATAGTATGATCAACTGGGTTCGCAGGGTAACAGGTGCTGCTGAACTTGTGTGTGTGGGCGTAAAGAGAGGAAGCAGTATTAGAAGAAGGAGTGGAGTGATGAAATATTACGCCAATACAATCAATCACTGTTTGGCAGCTTTCTTCGACTTCCGTGCACTGATACTTCTCTTGATGTTCCTTGCGCCGTGAAGGTAAAGCCACGAAAAGAAGAACACGGCCATGAAGTTGAATATTACGTAGGCCCAGAAAATGCCCTATCGAGGTCCAGTTAGCACATACCTTTTCGAAGGAGAGGGATACTCAAACATACATAGTTACGCCACTTGTGCGAGTAGTAAACGTTGAAGTTTCGGGCCTGGGAGCAAGGCATGATTAGTGTCTGCGGACTACATATAAAGAGCAAGATAAGACAGGGTAAACATACAAAGGCATCACCAACAGAGTACTGGCAGAAAGCACACAGACCGTTACCAGCATCTTGGACGTATCCGCCTATCTGGCTTGCGTAGGATCCGGCATACTCCTGACAAGTCATTCCTGAAGGTGGGCTGAACTCTGATTCTTCTCTGGGGACACAGCGGACGGGAACACCGTGTACCACGACGCTCAGGAAGCCTTCCAGAAGATAATGGAATGGCGTGAGCCAGTACATCCAGGATCTCCAGAAAACATTTAGGCTGGAGTATGGTACGACGACACCGCAGAAGGATAGGACGAACGTGAAGAAAGTCGGCACGAGGAGAGAGGCGAAGAGTGGGTTTGGAGAGAAGGCTGCGATGAATTGACCGAGGCCGACATAGAACAGTTCGAAGAGCATCAAGAACATCCAGACAAAACCGGAGGTGAATGAATCTCGCGGGAACCAGACGCCCCAGTACCTGGTGCGCGTTAGGTTGATTTGTCTATTGAA